GGAAAAGTGGCATTCTTTACTGTGGGCACCTAAATAAGGAATAAATTAAGGAAGTGTTGCACCTGGGGGAGGGGACGTGATTGACAGCATAAAACTTTTCAGCTACTTGTCCATTTGCGTGATGGTCCTCCATTTATACAGTCTTCTAATGGGTTTTCACTGTGCTTAGGCAAGCTGCAGGTGTTTTGGAATCAATCGACTGATTTCATGTGGTGGATACAGTAGAGTTTGCTATTTAGCATTTCTTGACCTTTAGCCGGTCGCTCTTTGCAAAAATAAACTACACTGATAGAAATATGGTTGTACTTGTGGCTCATGATGCAAATTGTGGAAACTTAACTGACCATCACAGCCGACATTTGCAGGTACCAGCCTTATTTTTAGTTTAGCAAAGTGTTGCCATCCTAAAGTCTGGTTGAAATAGTTTACTTCGTGCTTTTCTGTCAGTAATTTGACTGAGATTGCTTTAGGCCATTTAAAACTTGCTTCATTTCATTAGAAGCTTCCGTAGCTCATTCCCTCTCTTCTCTCTTTTTCTTTCCTTACAAGTTCAAGTACTGTTTAGGGAGTTGAAAAATCTGCAAAATAATCTAGAAGACTGCAATAAATATTGTCCAAAATCAGGCACCCCAGAGGCAAAGGCCCACTTACAAACTGCTCTCTCAGGTGGCACTCCTTCCACTGGGTGGAGCTAACAGGCAACTACTTGACATTTTTCTAAGATAAAATCTGGGATTCAGAAATTGTGCAGTGATTTACATTAAAAAGTATTATAACTTAAACTATATGTATATTCTGATACATTGACATGGATTCAGATGCAATTCTAATCACTTCTGAGAAGTGGAGAAAAAGGCTCATTAGAATGTGTCATGGGGGGAAAAAATTAAACACAATAAAAGGTGAGAATAGAAGCCTTTTCTGCTTTTCTTGATCATTTTCCTGATCAGGATCTTCTGGGCTATATTTTTGGATAATTGTGTTTAGAGTTCAAGTTTGTCCTAGTCAGGCTGCATGATCAGGAACCTTGTTATCTATAGGGGATTGAATAGACATCACTAAATATCTAAATCTGTCTTCCGTCCTTGAAGCTGTTCATGTCTGTATCAGAATCTAAAGCCGTGCTTGGCTTGGTCGAGTAATGTCTAAGTTGCAATTGTTTACAATGCTACATGTTTGTACAGTACTTTTCATATGCATCACTGACCAGTCCTGATGTGTTCTCTGCTCTGGTCCTCTCATTTCTTTTACGTATATTTATTTTCTCTATTCTTGTTTATGATTTTTCATTTGTTCAGAATTACCCATCTTAAACTGTGACTTGACTTGACTTTACCGACGGTATGAATGAGTGACAAGAAACCAACACACTTCAACTGAACATGACACACAAATGGAAAAAAAACACATACAGCAACAATATAAAAAATGTAAAGAAAATATATTGAATTTAAAATTGTTCAGTGGAGATACTGTACAGAACAAATAAAGATATGTTGAAACCCTTTAATGCACATTTCTTCTGTCATTACACGTACTATGTAAAGCGGTCTTTAGCTTACAAGCCAGTCGCTGTTTATACCTCATGACATGTTTCTTTGTTTATAGCAGCAAACGTTTAAGTTGCTGGGCTATTTTTGGATAGTCCCTCTTTCCTTTAAAGGATTTTTCTATGTATGAATGAATTCATGTTTTATTTAAAGTAAAGAAACATTAAAAATGTTTTGGACCTTGAATGAATAGAGTAATGCTTTATTAAAAGCAATACGCAAATGCAATCCCAAAGATAAGTGATTCATGAATCCTGTAGATGGTGGCAAGCATTAAGCTAGGATATCATTTTTTAATACAACAAAGAAGAATCTAAGCTTCTAAAGGGAAGTCAGGTTTTTTTGACATCCTCACTGTTGAGGAAACCTGCAGTTCACACTAGTTATGGCAGAAATGAGGCTTTCTGAAGATGTGAACCAGCTGCTTTGAAACATTTGAAGCTCCTCACACTGGCGACATCTGCTGGCCAAATGCATGTAACCTCAGCAGAAAGACAAACTTTGGGAGATGCATATTTAGTCATTTTCATAATATCATGTGTAAATAAACTGCCAGTAATAAATAAGATGTATAGGCTATACATATACATATGCTGCCTTCATCTGTGTATAGCCTAAAATGTACATCTCAGTTGGACAACTGTATGGCTAATGGGCCTCCCTGATGTGGAGTGTTTGTCTGACTGCAGCAGATGAAGATGTAAGTGTTTTCAGCAGAGTTTATATTAAGAAAAACTATTTGCTAGTATTTTAGGCTAGTTTAACTGTTTTCTTGCTTACATCCTGTCTTGCTTTGGAGAGCCAGTTCTGATTCTTTTAGGCCAGACCTCGTGGTAATAAGGCAGATAGAATAATACCAAAATATGATGAATTAATATGGCTGAATAAATGAAGCAAATCAACAAACAAGACAGAGGATGTGATTTTTCAGGTTGCCCTGTAGTGGCCTACGCCCTTTATTTAAATCTTTGGGATGCTGAGAATGGAGGTGTCTTAGTAGGGACGATGCTGCAAAATGTTTTACTTGAATGTTTTGTTTTTATTTTACCAGGAAAACCTCACTGGGATCAAAAATCCCTCTTACAAGAGTGATCAATACAAGCAACAACATAAAGGACATGCAGGACTGTTTTGCTCAGACAGCCTAGGATGTGTTTAAAGCTACAGCCACCTCAGAGGACTTTTCTGTCAGCGTACAGGACTATGTTGAGTATGTGACCGGATACATTAGTACCTGTACTGACAACATCATGCCCACTGTACAAGTCAGGAGGTTCCCCAACCAGAAGCCCTGGATAAACAGTCAGGTATGCCACATGCTGCGTGCTTGCTCTCGGCTTCTATTCTACGGCTGACTCTGGACGGACGTGACAAGGCCTGCAGCACATCACAGACTACAGGACCACCACCATCATCATCAGCTCCACAGACAGCCTGCCGGATGACCTCAAGACCTTCTACACCCGCTTTGAGGCCTCAGCCACAGCACAGAGAGGAATCATGCACACACCCTAACCCTCCCGACCCCCCTAACCCTCCACTAACTGTCTCATCAGGCCAGGTACGCAAAGCCCTGAGGAAGATTGACCCCTGCATGGCAGCAGGACCAGCAAGAGACAGGCTCTCAGAGCATGTGCCAACGAGCTGGCTGATGGTTCTCACCTTCATATTCAACCTCTCCCTCAGACAGAGCATCGTCCCCACCTGCTTTAAGACCACAACCATCGTCCCCCTTCCCAAGAAGAGCCCGGTCACCTGCCTGAACGACTACAGGCCAGTGGCACTCACCCCAATCATTATGAAGTGTTTTGAGAGAGTGGTGCTGGCCCACATTCAGAGCAGTATACCGGACACCCTGGACCCCCTGCAGTATGCCTACCGGCCCAACAGGTCCACCTCAGACGTCATCGCAGCTGCCCTCCACTATTCCCTTTCTCACCTGGAAAATGGAGACTCCTACATCAGGATACTCTTCATTGACTACAGCTCCACCTTCAACACAGGACTTTCTGACTGGCAGGCCCCAGACTGTCAGGATTGGCAATAGGACTTCAGCCAGCATTGTTACAAACACTGGCACCCCACAGGGATGTGTCCTCAGTCCCATCCTCTACACCCTGTTCACCCACGACTGTGTCACCTCCCACAAAGACATCATCATCATCATCCTATAGTTCGCGCACGATACAGCAGTGATAGGATGCATCACTGGCAGGGACGAAGCGGCCTACAGGAGGGAGGTGGCCAGTCTGGTGTCAACTGCCCTCTCTGCAGAGCAACTACCACCGCAGAGTCTACAGGAGAGCTGCCTCCATCCTCAAGGACCCCACCCACCTTAAGCACAGATTGTTCACACCTCTACCCTCAGGCTGGAGGTACAGAAGTGTGAAACGCAGGACTTCTAGACTAAAGAACTCTTTCTTTCCCACTGCCATCAGAGTCCTAAACAGCTGACATGAGTTTATAATCAGGGATTACGTCATGTAACTGCACCTGACTGTTCAGTTTTTAGTTTGCATATGAATAATTGCACATTCATTGCTGACTGCTGCACATACAGCTGATGTATCATATATTCTCTTGTATTTTTATTTTTTCACATGCAGTTTTTAAAATTGTGTATCATTATTTATCTATTTTATATTTAGACTTTATATTATTTGGTATTCATTGTGGACAGCAAAAGAAGAATTTCATTGTGCACGTTTCCTTACTGACAATGACAATAAACACTTGATTTTGATAAAAATGCTCGTTACAAGTACGTTTCACCCTAAAATAAAAACCTGCAAGCTTATAGTAGATTTCATTCTGTTAGTGAGGCGTCGCAGGAGATCTACAGGTAGCCAGAAACACTAAGGATAAGGATAATCACCTTTACTGGCCAAGAATGTTACACACAAGGAATTTGGTTCCGGTACAGAACCGATGGCTCGGGGGCAACGGGGAGGTTGTGTCTTGCCCAAGGACACTTCGATCAGAGGATCAGAGGTTCAAACGTATCTGAATCTTAGGTAGCGGACGTGTCAACTGATTCAGAATTAGTAGTTGCAACGTGCAAATGTTCAAACAGGTGATACTGTTGTTCAATCTACTGTGCAGGACTCACCGTGAGATCGGCCACTAGTGGCGAAACTACATTCCCTACCAAATTTGAGACGTTTCATGTAAAGACGTGAAACAACCACGTGACTTGGCCACTTTGCTACAAACGGAAGTGTCGCAGGTGGTTCGCAGCGTCCTGATACGCTGTTTTGAGTTCGACCATCACTAGTTCACAATACCTATTTCCGCCTTGAGTCTGGAGGTAAATGTTGGGATATAATTTAGGAGCAAGTACGCGTGTAGTTTGGATATGTGCTTAGCTGTTTATGTCCAGTGTATATTAGCTTAACGGTACAGATAACTAATAGCGCAAGCTAATTTGGCTGCATTTGGCGGTTAGCGAGTGTTAGCATGTGTTACCTAACCTAATGCGAAAGCTCCATAGCCAGTGACAAATCAAAAGCTAGTCACGATAGAGCACGTTTTGTAGGAAATGTGTATGTTCTTAAATTGCGAATTATGTGGAGTGCTACAAGTAAGTAGGTTAACTACCCTAATCTACTGGGGCCGTTACAGAAATTCACTCCAATTGGCTCTAGTTAAGTCAGTTTCTGTACCCTTTATGAAACACAGCCAGCTTCCAGCAGGGTCAAGATGTTTCGCGAATTATTAACTTACAACTTTCAGTTCAGTTCGTTGTCGCCTTATTTCACTTTTCAGTGAGTCGTTTGGTCTGACTGAATAAAAAGTACCAAAATGGTTCAAGTGGATTTACTTCCTGTTACTTTTCTAGCTGTAACCCAGAGGCCTTGTCAGTGAGCCTATTATCACCGGGTTTTCTACATCCAACAGATACCGGAGATGAAGAAACAGGACACGGAAGAGTCTGCCACTCGATGCAGCGAGGACGCTCCACCTGCAGCAGGAGGGACGGAGTCACCTGCAGCTGCAAAAGACAGCTCGGACAGCAACAGCCCCAAGGAGTCTGAGCCCCAGACGCCCCAGACAAACACACCTCCACAAAACGACGAGGCAGGAAGTGAAGGTAAACTTTTATTTGTATGCTGTGGACTTGACAGTCTCAGTGTTTCTGCTATATGAAAATAATTTATGACCTGGTGAGTAGGTAGTGGACTTAGCTTTCCATCACTGTAGCTGTCGCATTGATTTACTGCTTTACTGGCCTCCATCAAAGGATTGTTGCCCCAACAGAGCCAATGATTTTGGCTCGTCTTTATCTGTCATGGCATACTGAGCCAAGAGTTTGCTATTTTTTTATTTAATGTTATTTTTGCAATGTGGTCACTAAATAAAAGGTCGTCACTGAATAATTATTGCCAGAATTATGCTATGGAGTGCATAAAGTCACAAAAAAATGGTGTTCTTTGTAATCATGTCTTTGCATCTATTGTATCTAGTTGCAGAGGCAGCATTGTCTCAGTGTGATATGGCAGAAGAGCTGAGCCGGCAGCTGGAAGACATCCTCAGTACCTACTGTCGGGAAACCATTTCAGATGACGCCAGCACAGTGCCAAATGGACAGTCACACAGCCCAGAGCTCAATGGTCTGTCCACTGAGAGGGAGGAGGACAAAGTTAATGGAGGTGACAACGAACTGGAGAAGAAGACTACTCAGGAGAAGAAGAAGAAAGTGAAGGGTCTGGGTAAGGAGTAATTCGCTGTTTCTATAAGGATCTCTGGAGAGACTTTTTTCTGTTGTGCTGCTCTCCAGAGAACACTGCTCACCAAAGACAGGTGGTGTGTATTTTGGTGGATTGTTGAGTCATGGACAAATGGGCAGTTTTGCATTGTGTAGAAACAAACATCCGGTATGGCACTTTACAGTGTTAAAATGACAGATTTTGAGGTATTCCAGCTGTACTGGGACTATTTTTTGTTGAAAGAAGTTATCTGCATTATCACTGTATAAACTTGTATAATCACTGTAAACATATTACTTGTAATCAAGCAGTATATGTACTTAATAACTGTGCATAGCAAGGTATAAAACGGAAGAGGGTCGTTTACTTGTAATCAAGCAGTATATGTACTCAATAACTGTGCATAGCAAGGTATAACACGGAACTGGAACGGAACTAGAACTGCAGATACCAGAAAGTGTTACAAAGTTTTCCTTGTTTATGCAGGTAAAGAGATCACTCTCCTCATGCAGACTCTGAACACACTGAGCACTCCAGAGGAAAAGCTTGCAGGCCTCTGTAAAAAGTATGCTGAACTGGTGAGTGATAAACTCTGCTTGTTCTTAACCTTTTTATAAATAGCAGTAAAACATTCCCAGTGAGGGTCAGTTATGAGGAATCACTCTATGCTTCCACATAATTTTGCAACCTTTGAAAAATAGATTTTCAACTCTTAGAATGTAAGAAATGAAGCGCAACATAAAATAATTTTCATCACTGTAACATTTAGACTTGTCTAGAGAAATGTGATTCATGCTACCTCTTTTCCATAATACTGAAAATGTATTTTTGATCTTGACATGGTCTTCACTGCCATAGCCAAGTAGCTACCAGTTTGGTACAGAATGTATCTGATACTTTGGTGGAATAACCATATGGTGGTCTTGTTCATTTCCTGCTTTAATTTAGATCCCTTGTTAGGTAAAGTGTGATTGAGTTGCTGAATCGGAACCCTGAGCAGTTTCTGTGAATTAAGACGACATATCAGGATGAAAATAGGAAAACAGCCTAAAAACCAAGTGTGAAAATAAATCTTGACTTGTTTATTTACCAGTGTTTTCCCCTAGAAACATTCTCAGGCACGGTGGCAAGAGGATGATGCAGGCTTTAGTGTGCAAACACTAAAATCTTTGGGTTGTTGTTATTTTTCATGCAACACCAGACTTTTGGTTGGTCACAGTTTTCCCCACGAAAATATGAAATATCACAAACGTCTGTAACTTGAAGAAGCCTGTGTGAAGGATCATTGAAGGTAATACCTTGTTTCCACAAACCTCGGTGTGCATATGAAATCCATTGAAAGCAGTGTTCTCAGGTCACACTTGGTTTTTTATTTTTTTTGTTGTTGTTGTTTTTTGTATTCCACATTGAAAGCAGTGTTCTCAGGTCACACTTGGTTTTTTATTTTTTTTGTTGTTGTTGTTGTTTGTATTCCAAGGTTTATTTGTTTTTCTTACCAGAGCTGTCAGAATCAAATCAGACTGAAGCAGGGAGGAGACGCAGAGAAGCATGTGACAGACTCCCAAATGCAAATAGTTATTTCTAAATGAATGTATATTGGACGGTATTGTAAAAAAGGGCCTGTCATGTAGGCAGAGTGGGGGGTTGGGGGGGTCTTTGTCATGCCTGTACTATTATATTTACTGTCCTACTGTCTGGTTCAGTAGTCTATGTGCAAATTGCCAGGTATTGTTTGCTTACAAATGTGCATTCAGCACTTACAAATATTCTAAAACAGATGATTGAAGTAAAGTGTCTAAATGTATGTATGGCTATGTACTTAAACAAACATGTAAACACTGGAAAAGACATGGAAATCCTTTTCTTGTCACCTGAGCTTGCAGTTAGAACACAGAGTAGGTCAAACCGAGTATACTTCAAGGTGATGCAGAGATCTGTGTCAGACAGACACCAAGTGGTGCAATGCAGAGCTGTGTCCTATAACCTCAACACGTGTGGGGCCGGTGTGTAGCTTTTAGCAGCACTAATGATGAACTGCTAGCTCTGTGTGCTGTGGGATGTTTTTATATTGACTTTGTGTGCTGGTGCATGTGAGCTTGCAGTGATGTGTATTATCAGAATTGTCTTTATTGGCCAAGTATGTTTGGACATACAAGGAATTTGACTCCAGTGTAGAGGCTCTGTGTGTTTGTAAGGCAACAGGAACTAGACAAATAAAATAAAAAATAAACAGTGTATGCATTCAAACAAGGGGATATGTGCAATCAAACATGGGAAACTGAGAGGAACAGAGACAGTATCTATAAATATATGTACATTACGACAGAAGAGCTTTCACATTGATATATGCAATGGTTATATTACAGTTTATTTCACTGGGGTGACTGCTGTGTCCTGTCATACAGTCATGGATTTACTGGATTGGATTGCTTGGATTTGGCAGTGTGTCAGAGCTGATGTATGAGGATTGGTCTGCAGTGGTGTTACTGGCTGAAGGTAGACAAAATGGCAATTAGACTGCTGCTGAATGATGATGTATCACCATTGTGATGTGATGTATGCATTTGCTATAGTCACATTACTAAAGGTGGAACAGAAGGCAGATGTGTCCCATAGGTCACATTATACTACATTTTGTGTAGCTGAGTAGAAAACAAAGCAGGCTGTTTTGATATCTATGTATTAGCCTGGATTGATGAGACTCTGTTTCTGAGGTATCCTTCCATATTGGTCTAATCCTAGTTAAAGTCTTTGTGTGTTTGTTGCAGCTGGAAGAACACCGGAACACCCAGAAACAGATGAGAGTGCTGCAAAAGAAGCAGAACCAGCTTGTCCAGGAGAAAGATAACCTGAGGAATGAACACAGCAAGGCCATCCTGGCCCGCAGCAAGCTGGAGAGCCTCTGTCGGGAGCTGCAGAGACACAACCGCACACTTAAGGTGCACAACAAACACCGATATGCAGTCTATATACTGCATATATGAATATGGTTTTGGGATTTAGGACCAGAATTAAGCAAGCATCATTTTTCACATTAAATGTCAATGGGCTATGCTCACAATACATTACATAACATTACCTCAATGCTCATTCCGATTTATTTATTGGTGGGGGGGGGTCAAATCCAATCTTTTTATGCTGATGGCTTGCAATCATGTGCATCCACCTCTGGTGTAGCTACTGTTGAGGTCCTAAACTGCCACTGTTTGCACAGATTTAACCAAAATATAAGCCGGATTCATAAAGGAGTAACATGTCATTTGTGCAATGGTCAAATTGTGCAGTTTCTTCAAAAACTGCCCCGTTACAATATGTTCCCTCTGGCTTGATCAGAAGCTTCTCCATAAATGTCCTACAAATGTGAAACAGATTCACCTCTCCACCGAGCCCCATTGCTGCTTTTCTCCATATTTACTTTTACCAGTGCGTAAGGGGCAGACAGTGTATGATGACAGAAGAGGGAGATGTTAGAAACCACTTGAATTCCAGTCTGACCATTTTGATAGCAGTTGGATATGAATCAGGTATAGGACCTCGTATGGACGTGCCCCACATCTTATTTGGAAAAATATTTTCATTTGGTTTGTTCACACCTCAGCAGTTAAAGTGAACGTAGCCATACAGTTTCCTTGAGTGCTCTCAACATTATGTGCCTCTTTATTTCCCCCTGCAGGAGGAAGGGGTACAGAGAACCCGACTGGAGGAGGAGAAAAGGAAGGAAGTGACTTCTCATTTCCAAGTGACACTGAATGACATCCAGACTCAGCTGGAGCTGCACGACGAGAGGAACGCCAGACTCCGACAAGAGAACACAGAGCTGGCCGAGAAACTGAAGAAACTCTATGAACAGTACAAACTACGGGAAGAGGTGTGTGGGCATCTGCACATTTTTAAGGATAACAGAAACTGCTATGCAAGCTAGTATGCTAACAAAGCTCTGTTTTTGTGTGCATTCCTAAAAAGAAATGAGGATGGAGTTGCTCTTTGAGTGTCTTCTAGTGGAATGTAACTCACGATGTTGTCAGTTTACCACATTTGTACTGGATGGGATACAGGCTTTTATCTCTCCTTGACTCAGCACATAGACAAAGTGGTGAAGCACAAAGACCTGCAGCAACAGCTGGTGGATGCCAAGCTGCACCAGGCTCAGGAGCTGCTGAAGGAGTCAGAGGAGCGCCACGACAGAGAGAAGGACTTTGTATGTGAACACAAGAAGATGCAAACAGCAGGATTGTGCTTCATCCTGTTCTGTGTAACAGTGATTTGTCCTTTCCTCATTAGCTGATGAAAGAAGCTGTGGAGTCTCAAAGGATGTGTGAGCTGATGAAGCAACAGGAAGTTCATCTCAAACAGCAGGTACGTCTTTATAACTCCACTTGGACTTTATAGTGATGGTCTTCATTTTGATGAAACAAGAACCTTTTTGTGATCCAACTTGGCTTGTTTGCAGCTGTCACTGTACACAGAGAAGTTTGAAGAGTTTCAGACCACGTTGTCCAAGAGTAATGAAGTCTTCACCACATTCAAACAGGAAATGGAGAAGGTGAGGTGTCTGTGATTGTGGAGGTGTAAAAAGAGGATGGAGAGGGGCTTTTTCTTGGCTTGGTCTGCTGGTGTGACAGTAAGGTTCCCTTTTTTGCCACAGATGACTAAAAAGATCAAGAAGCTAGAGAAGGAGACAGCCATGTATCGGTCCAGGTGGGAGAGCAGCAACAAGACTCTTCTGGAGATGGCAGAGGAGGTAAAGCAGGCTTCAGTTTGGATTACTGTCATGCACTGCTAGACCCTGAAGAACTCCAGCTAATCGTTCATTTTGGTCACTTTCATTTCTGCTCTGTCAGCATCAAGGAATGTCATGGACTGTCCAGCTGACATTAGATCATCTTTCAGTACTGAAGACATATAAAAAAAATCAATTCATACAAAGAGAGTTGGATTAGAAATGGCTAGTCTAAAATATCATGCCTATTTTATTTAAATAATTATGTCAAATGAGATTAATTTTACCAAGAACACTCAAGCATTACAGGTCTGAAAAGGTTTTTAGGGTTTATGTGTGTCATCTTGTAGCAGCACAAAGTGTCTTAAAGAATCTTTCCCAGTTGTTCGTTTGGCAGGAACTGAAGACATCTGTTTGTTTCACTCAAAGCATATTTCACCTGTTCTCTGTAGCACAAGATGTCACTGGATATTTAAGAATCTAGTTTATTATATTAATAATACAATTGAGAAATTCACAAACGTCTAACTTGCATCATCCTGTGACGCACCTGCACACATCATCAGTGAGGCTATCTGCTACAGTACTGAGCTGTCAAACCTAAACCTTGGATATTCTGCTGTCCTGGGTGTAAGGCTTTCACTGCTCTATCTGATTCATTAACCATGTGTTCAATCCTTTTTCGTTTTGCTTTGTTTGCTCCTCACGTGGTGGCTGTTCCTCTGCTTTTTTCCCCTTGGGGCTTGGCTTTGCAGTGGCAGACAGACAGACAGACAGACCAAAGGAACCAAATAGACAACATGAATGAAAGCTACAATAAGGAATCTGTTGATTGATTGTGGAGTTGCATATCCTCGTATTGTACCATCTTGGAACGGATCCAAAATGGAACTAGCTATGGGGGAGCCCATACCTCACTATAATGTGTTTATACTCAGTTTGTCTGTAACACACAAGAGCTAAACGCATGTTTTCATCATTTGTTTGTCTACAGAAAGCTGTGCGGGACCGGGAGTTCGAGGCTTTTCAGGGTAAAGTCCAGCGGCTGGAGAAGCTGCGGCGGGCGCTAAAAGTCGAACGTAATGAGCTCAGCAAGAAAGTCCAGAACCTCGGCGGTGAACAGGGTGGCACAGCGGGATCCCTCGCCACTGACCCAGGGACTGATTCCCCCTCTCCACCACCTACAGACTCTCTGCTGCAGGAACCCAGCACCTGTCCTGTCCCAGACACCTGCTCCCACTCCTGCCACTGTGACCCTGAACTGGACACAGACACTCTTCTAGAGGAGGCAAATGCTCAGCCTGTCGCCATACAGGAGTAAAGTAACGCTGCTAACACACCCCCTCATTCCCCTTAAGCATCAAGCCACCACCCTGCAAAGCCACTACTTTTCTGCTGGGTGAGGCGGATGCTAAACACACTGATCCAGGGTCAGTGAATAGTAACACCTTAATGTGTTTTAGAAATATCTGATCAATATTTAACGGAAAGGTTTGCAGGCTTTATCAAGGTGATGAGAAGATTGTACCTCATCTCTCGGCACATTTACATGCATATTATAACTCCATTACTGTGAATAAGCTGATTAACATAATAGTTTCATTAAAGCATTGATGTGGTTCACAATAACCAGTTTCCCCACAACAGTAACATTTTCCTGTTTCATTTATTTGTCCGGTTTCAATCCACAAGCTTGTGTGGCCTATAGAAAACATACGGCTACTTCAAACATAGAGAGAAACCATGTGATTTTTAGGTATTCCTTTCTTGAATTGATAAATCATTTCATGTATTGGTTATTAAAGGAAAGCCATTTGCTGACACCTCCAGCAAAAGTGCTAGACATCCTGCTGTTTGTGCAGAAAAATAGCTTTCAGTTCATAACCTCTCTAGGCATATGCACAGAATCAGAACAGTGAAAGAAATCTGACTTTTGGTGTAAATATCACTCAGTAATTTAAGATTTCTAAGTTACCCAGCTCTGTTAGATTTGCTTCAACTTAACCCTCACCTTAGACAATGTTTTTACATGCTGCCTGCAATGATCAGTAACAGTGTGATAATTAGTGTGTATGTAAATGTTCTGCCTGCCTCCTGTTTAACTACACATTCCCGATTTGACTTGCATCCACCACAGAACTGCTTAGCAAGATAGATAACAGTGCTGGGATGACATGAGCCAAACAGCTATATGGAGTCACCAGAGGTGTGTGTGTGTGTGTGTGTGTGTGTGTGTATACACACTTGAGTGTCACTGTGTTTTGGATGGGGTTCAGTTTATAGCTTGCAGTACACTGAAGGTGTTTGTCCTTCTATCATAACAGACGTCATATAATTTCTTTAGCTAATATAACTTTTAATTGCATTTTAAAAACGTAGAATTCTACCTAATTATCGAAGGGAATTTCTCAATGTCTTGGGTTTTCAAGCAGCTCAGATAATCACAATACTTTCTCCAGCATTTTCAGTTCATGCTTATAGAACATTTTGGGAAATTGCCATTGTTTGTATCACACTGCTTTATTTGTAGTGTTTCATTTTGTGGTCTGTGTTTATTGTTTGAAGCATAATCTGATACTGATATGTATGTATCTTACAGAGCACCACTAAAAAATAAATCGGGTTAATTGTTCATTCAGATGATTTATAAAGGGTTTATTTTATGACCATCTTTTCATTCCTAGTTTTTCTGAGTTATTCTTAATTTTGCTTTACATGTTTCACAGTGTGCTTATAACTTTGTGATGACAACAATTTAAAACTATAACGCCATCTTTCTCTGTGTGTGTGTGTGGTTTATGTGGCTACAGTTGCCTCCTCCTAGTTCTGATAACTGCAGTAGCTTGTAATCAGGTTACAATAAGCGAATGTTCAAGGACCTCTATGCAACACTTGCCTCTTGGTTTATTTTTTTGTGTCAGTCTGAACTGACTAGCACTTAGCTGAGAATGTATATTATATGCACTGTCCTGCATGGATGAACTGTACAAATGGACAACATATCTCCCACCACAACTATTTTTACTCAAGTTTGAACCCTGTTGGATCTGTTCTCAACTGTTTAACATGGAGAGTAATCACGTGCATCTCACTGATGTTTTTAAAAGGTGAATTGACTGAGCTGTGTGGAAATACCAATGGATAATGAGAGAAAATATTACTGGATTCTGAAGTGTGGTTTCACTCCCAAACGTTCATTTGTTTCCCTCTTGGTTTAGTACTACTCAATATGTAGCATCAATATGAGAGCTGATGGACTCGCTCCTCATCAGCTAAAATAGAAGTGTCAGAGCTAATTCCTTCCATTGTCCCTCCAGTCCAGTGGATATGGAGATTTATCGACCATGAGAAGGAACCAAAGATGTTTCCTTTTGTCTTTTGCAATACTTTTGTCTAGCCCTGTTTTTTTTCCCTATTAAATAAAGGATGCAACCGTGGATATTTGACTTGTTGGCCCATTTAAAATGAGTAAGCGTCAATGTATTTTTCAGTTTGAGAAAGGTGTATACAGTTTTAAGGACAAGCATGGGTTCTTCAGCTCATGATCTCTGTGTGTTAATTCTTATATTTGTAGACACTACCTTTTTTTTTCTTTTTTTAGCAGTGTCTTGTACTGTTATGTATTATTACGCACCTCACTCTGTTCTTGTGGCTTTGAGAAATAAAGTTTCTTTTGGTGATATGTTTGGGTCAGCAGCAGGTTACATTTTAAACAGTTACACACCTCACATTAAACATGGCAACCAAGCTAAGACTGGTATCAATTAAAACTATGGTCTGGGGATTTTAGTTACACAATACAATTTGAACTAACTCGAAGATAAAAGTATTTCTGCTAAGAAGGGTTTCTAGAGCTCAAAGTATATTGTAATTATCTATAATGTGATAATTCTATAATACAATTCATGTTCACTATATATACACTGCTCAAAAAAATAAAGGGAACACAAGGGAAAATAAGACATTCAACTATGTAATGAACAAGGTATTTAATAATATTTCATTCATTCAGATCTAGGATGTCTTATGTTGTGTGTGTTTGCCTTTTTTATCTTAATATATTGTACCCCTTAAAACAGAGCAAATTCAAAATCTACGCTAGGGGGCGCATTAATGCCATGTTTTTGCTGTTTTATACAGGAAATACGTCACCATCCTTTTCCGCCGCGGCGCCGACGCTGGAAACACGAGTGTTCACCTTTTCTGTCTTTACGGGAGGTGTAGTGAATATACTAGGACGATTGGCAACACCTTGGTGATAAAATGGTTAGTATATTATTTTGTGAAAGTGTGAAATGAGATATTTTGGCCAGAATAATACACAATATCTTGCTAATATGTTATCTAGTTTCGCTAGCATAGCCCCTTTTGCTAGCGTTATCTTAGCTTTCCAAGTAACGTACATGTTAACTAATGTTAGTGTTAGCTAACACTATTAGGTACTGGAAGATGATTCTGCTCCTTATCAGCTGGCAGAACTAGACAGGTGTAAGCTACTTTTTATAAGGATATATAGGTAAATCTAAAGCTAGTTTATCACATATCACTGCCGCGCCATGTTTAATTGGAAAAGACGTCATGATGCTTAGTTGAGTGGTTGTTAAATTAATACTACCCATGTTCTGATGTACATTTCGCTCCACAGAAACCCATCCTGTTACAGGGTCATGAAAGATCCATCACTCAAATCAAGTACAACAGAGAAGGAGACCTGCTCTTCTCTGTAGCTAAGGACACGGTGAGCTGATAGTCATTCGATGTGCAGTGACTCCGTTATCACATTATGCCAAACATGTCAGTTTGTTCGGTATCAGCTTATGAGTTGTATCTGTTGTAATGCCTCCCTTTGTAGGTAACTAATGTGTGGTACTCTGTCAATGGCGAGAGGCTTGGCACATACAATGGGCACACAGGAGCCGTGTGGTGTGTTGACTGTGACTGTATCCTTTTCGTCTTGTTTCAGCTCGAACAGATGCAGTTGATTGTATATACCTGTGCTAGTTGATACATTTATGCATGTTGGGTTTCTTAGCATGGTCTCTATCAGGGGACACTAAAAACGTATTGACGGGATCTGCAGACAACAGCTGTCGACTGTGGGACTGTGAGACAGGTATCTTAAAAATAAAAATAAAAAGTTACAATGATGAGAGTAGAGTTCATCTGTTAGTTTGGGGTCATTAAATTTGTATCTGCTGTTCACACAGGTAAACAGCTGGCTCTGCTCAACACCAGCTCTGCAGTCAGAACGTGTGGCTTTGACTTCAGTGGCAACATCATCATGTTCTCCACAGATAAGCAGATGGGTTATCAGTGTTACATGAACTTCTTTGACCTGAGGGATCCACAGCAGATTGGTATGTACAACACTTTGCACACCTTTTTTTTAACAGTCATTTGTTAAACCAGTGAAATCATATACTATAAAGCTAGAAGTGCATATAAATATTTTATGAAGAATAAGTTCAGCTAATTAAAAATGGTCCTGTTTCATATTATGCTTTTCCCCCCCTCTGCTAGAAACAGTATACTGCATGTAATAAAGTGATGCAGTCACAGTATGAAGTCATTTATATATTCATCTTTTGACAGTTAATCCAATTTCATACATGGGCTATGTCACATTGCTGCTTCATCAGTCATTCAGACATACCTATGTCTGGGATGAACTAAGTCACGGTACACGTGCAGTATTTGCCTTATGCCAGTTTTGCTCTTGGGGTAGTGCCACCAAAATTACATACTTTAGGAATTTGTGTCTGAGAGAACTGAATATTGAATATTTCTACCTCTACTCAGTGTTACAGATTGTCTATCTACATTTCTGTGGTTGGAAAGAGGCATCATCTGTGTTTTGACGTTTCATTTTGGGAACTCAGAATCTGAATATTTCATCCTAGGATTTGGTCTTATGCTACTAAATTTTGACAATTTTTCAGACAAGAAATTAGCCATTTAGATTTAGCATATCTGGACAGTCTGAGTAACGCGTAGGCGTACTTGGAGATTTGCACCAATGGTTTCAGAGATGTGAGAACCAGCCAGAGGACCAAGCTGTCTCCATTGTGTTCTCTTGCCTGTTAATCATTGGACGCGGACTGCACTGAAATTTCCTGCTGTAATATGCAAATACCAACAGTGAAAACCTAACCAAATGAATTTCCAAACAGTCAAACAATTGGGTCCAGCCCTAATGCTGTCACATTAATGAAAAGAAGTGCATGTCTGAAAGAGGCTAAACACTGTTAAGCAGTGAGTCTGTCTCTGCAGATGACAACCAGCCCTACCTGTCGATACCCTGCAACGAGCATAAGATTACCAGTGCTGTGTGGGGGCCTCTGGGAGAGTTTGTCATTGCCGGCCATGAGAATGGAGAGATCAACCAGTTCAGCTCCAAGGTTGGACACGTACTATCTGGCTGAGAATACAGGAATGTAATCACATGTTCATGTGGCACTGGCTGCAGAGCTTACTTAATATTTAAGTCAGCAAATCTGACGTTCATTATGGAAAACCATGTAATAAATAAACTAGAATGGAAAATGGCTGTTTAGTGTACCAGCATATAAATATAATATTTAAAGACACTGCAGTGAAAAAGGACATAAAGCATATCAATGTAAGATTTTAAGCCAACTACTTTGTAGTTTGGAGTGCACATTTTTACACATCCTGATGACTGTTTTGTCTGTGGACAGTCTGGAGAGATCCTGAGGAAAGCCAAGGAGCACACCAAGCAGATCAATGACATCCAGACATCAGTGAATCTCACCATGTTCATTAGTGCCTCAAAGGACTGTACTGCCAAGGTAAAACACTGTCATCTACTCTTTTGGTTCTTTGGCACGGCCATAATTGTGCAGCTTGTGAATATTGGGACCATCATATCGCTATTGTTGATGTATAGAGTTGTGCTTGCACAACAGAGCTAAATATTTTAAGCTTATTGTGACAATTACACGAGGTAAAATTGGTCCTGGATCATCATTCTGTGTACCAGAACTTTCCCATCTGCAACCACATTTCTACATTTCTCCTGCACTTGAGACATTTTGCCTGTCTGACTTAGACTAGACAGGAAGGGATTAGTATCGTTTACAGCTGCTGGTGAAACAATGCAGACTGAACTTGTGGACTGAAGCCACATAGCAACTTTCTCTATGGGCTTGCAGAGATAATCCTTTGTTATACTTGAAGGTGACAGCGTGTATGAAGGACTTAACTGTAAACATCAATATGACTCAAGTTAGGTAGGCTAGAGAGTCACGATGCCTAGACCTATCAGTCCCTGGCTAAATTCATTATCCATGTTTTGGTATTCTGATATTCATCTTGCCCACCATTTGATGTCATCCTGTTTCCTCTCAGCTGTTTGACTCCTCTTCTCTGGATCACATCAAGACTTTCAAAACAGAGAGACCTGTCAACTCTGCTGCCATCTCCCCTATCATGGATCATGTAAATGAAGACTTGCACAGTACTATGTGTATCACACTAAGATATATGCCTTTATTTGGTGTTTTGTCATAAGACCATGTCACAAAAAAAAACTCTCTTCACTGACCTTTAACACTTTTGGTGTTCAATGATTCAGGTGGTAATGGGAGGTGGACAGGAGGCCATGGAGGTCACCACTACCTCCACCAGGATTGGCAAGTTTGAGGCCAGGTGAGGTCAAATGTGGCAGTGGCTGATCAGAGATTATGAAGGAAAACCTCCGCTAGTAAAAGAAATTTGTTTAAAGCCCATCACTGAGTGTTATGTCTATGATGTTGGGCACTGTTCGGATGACTGTTCATGTCATCCAGGAAATAATTGTCAGTTTCACATTATCCTGGCTCTGTTGGTTCTTTGAAAGTCTCACGGGACTTGTCACGGCAACATGTCCATAATCTCAAACCTGTTCAGGGCCAGGTTAGTTCTCAGTGTAAACAAGATAACTTCAGATTTAAATGGTCTTGGAGCAGAAAGCAACTGACTGACAGATTATAGTAACACCAGTTTAAAGAAAACAGATGGTATTGAGAGATCAACAGAACCATTCAATTATATGTTTATTACTGAGGTCATAGTTAAAGGTGGTGGTATACTGGACTAGCTACATAGATACGGTCAGAATATTAGGAACACCTAAATATAATGTAGTCCAGTACAACACTACCTTTAACTATGATCTCAAAATAAATGCATAATTGACTTTATAGATTTGAAAATTTCATCAACATTTTTGAGCTTCATAAATACAGATGTTAAAGCGAAGTGTTGCATTGAAGTGCATACAACTGTACAGGTGTACCTGGTGAAGTGGCTGGAAAGTGTACGTTGCTTGGAAGTTATAAGCAAGTTTAATGAAAGCTGTCATTAGAAACTTGAGGATTGCTCATTTGACCTAGGATGATCTTAATGTCCAGAGAACACCCTCTAGTTATGTATGTCAAGGTTTTTGTGTTGAAGTGGTAACCTGCTTTTCCTTTTCTATTTTCAGGTTCTTTCATGCTGCCTATGAAGAGGAGTTTGGCAGGGTCAAAGGTCATTTTGGTCCAATCAACTGTGTGGCATTCCACCCTGATGGCAAGAGGTAAAAGATAACCATGCTTCTGCTACAGTCCTAAAATGTACAGTAGTCTAGTTAAAACTCTTGTCTGTGTCACGGTGCTAACATGTTTCTCTCACTGTGGTTATTGTCTGCAGTTACAGCAGCGGAGGAGAGGACGGATACGTAAGGATTCATTACTTTGACCCTCAGTACTTCGACTTTGAGCTGGAGGCATAAACAGTCAGTGTCTTTACACAGCTTTGGGTACCATCACAATCAGTCCAATCAGGAAAGAGGAAAACAGACTCAAGCGTCAAATAAAGGAACATGCTCAACAGAGGTGATCATTTGTGAATGCAACAGAGTGTGGCACTTTGTTGGACTAGCTTATGTAGCATCATTTAGAATCCGTATTTGGTGGCAGGAGAAGCACATTGTTCAGTTGTTTTGCCTGGAATGTACAAAGCTATCATGACTGGACTTCACCACACACTCCCTGCTTCCTTAAGTTTATTTAAATCTGATTCTGCTATTAAGTAGACTCTTAGTTACTGCATCTTGTGTTGTAAACCATTCCCCACAAATCTCTATTAAAATTACTAATTCAAGTTGTGTCTGTATACAAACAAACCTTGACAAGGTTATGTAATGCAAAATAAATGCTGTGTGTTAAAATACGTTTTAGTTTGTGATGGTGGTATATTGCAAGTTGATATTCTAACTCATGTAAAACATGTTTGAAAACTGTCTCAAAACATTTTGCTGTAAATTAACCTGGGAGTGGGGGGGGGTGGCTCCATTTAATTTTTTTTAATCACAAAGTTAGGATAATGCACATTTCACAAGGATACAACTCCAAACAATCACATGTAAAGGGCCATGTATCAACTCACTCCACTTTTATGTAAAATAGTACAAAAACAAGTCACTTGCTGCCCGACAACACTGGAGAGTCACACTCACTCGCACGTTAACATCCAAACAATACAGGACGCAAAAATCAAAGATAAAACATGGACCAAGAAAACAGGCCAAAGGGACTGACTGCATTCATGATTTAAAATAACTTGCCAAGTAGAAGTGGGACTGCCTGAATAGTGGTGAGTGACTAGGCAGAGGGAGAGTAAGAGGCACATGCTGAAGGTGACATCATTCTATACATGCACAAACTGATCAACTAATACAGCAAGACAGATGTTTGCCAAATCCTGCTTATTTTAACAGTATCATAAATAGATAAAACAAAGTCTTTTTGCATATCAATTCTAGAATTATGAATCTACATCTCTGCAGGTATTTTAGCTTGAGCCCCACAAACATGTTTAAATCTGGAACACCATGATAGGACCACCACCACCACTCCGGGTGGTTTTCTGCACATTAAAGCAGACCTGGTCCACACAACAGTTAGACATGGGGTGGGGGCAGGGACGGGGGCAAAGTTCCAATCAGAAATTTATGCTTTTATCAGTAATCAAATAATCGGATGTGGCTAGTTAAATTTCTGATTAACACCCACCCAACGGGTGCTTCACAGAGCTTGGAGACTAATCTAAGTAACAGTGTAAACCAGGTTTGCCTGTAAGAACATATAATAAAAAAGGAATACAAAAAAAAGGTCTTTTCACCGCGGTAGGAGAATGCAGGAATCAGTGGGGCCTGAGGACAACAGTACAACCTTCCATTTGACCTGTACCAGGCTTCAAGTAGTCTTCACCTCCTCTTTTGGTCTGAAACACAAACAGTTGAGGGGTTCAAGCACTGAAATAGCTGGTGACACGGTCAGCTGCATCTCTTCACCTTTACAAGCTTTGACCACAAGAAGCACATTTATGCTTTGAGAATTCCTAATGTACATCAACTGTCATTCAGTAGTATCCTTATCATCTTTTCAATTAAAAATGTCAACAGTCACTAGGAACAATTTAACAAGTTCTCTATTCACGCAGTCTGACCAAAGCTGAGTATTTAATGTTTTGCCAAAAAAATAAATAAATAAATAAAAGACACCCCACAATACTAGGGCTTCCGGTATAGAGTGTTCACCTTTGTGCTGTGGAACCTAACTGTCAAGGGTGAAGTGAGTCTCATTTTGAGAAGGGTGTGGCTACGATGTGAAGAATGGCTCAAATTACAGCACCCACATTAAGTCATACAGATTACACCCCTATGGACCAAAAGAGGACAAGACATCACTCTAAAAAAACATCAGAAGTCATCTTCTGCATGTCTTTCATGACAGTTACTAATGTTAGCCTGTCAGAGCAGTGTGTGTGTGTGTGTGTGTGTGTGTGTGTATATGTGTGAGTGACCGCAACTGATGATGATACACACAGTAAACATTATTAGCAGAGGGTTTTTGTTTAGGATTAATGATACTAACTATAGCCACTAATGTTACGGTCAGCATGCCTAAAAACATAAACCACTTAGTGTTTTGTATGTTTAGATTATTTACACTGCTTTATCTTGCCTCAAACAGCCCTTCCCAATGGGGAACTGAAGCTGTTATATTTCTGTTTTTAAAGCCACCAGAATCCATTGACAAAATCAGTAATTTTACCTTGCAGGACAAGAGTTACTGGTCTACTGCTGCTGTTTTGTTAAAACTGTTGCCCTGTCAAATGAGTCTGGTGGCTTTGAAGAGAATATAGACAGATATACAGTCAGGGGAAAAAATTATTTGAACCCCAGCTGATCAGTCTACAATGTCAATGGTAGGTTTATGTGAACAGTGAGAGACACAACTATAACAAAAAAATCCAGAAAAATGCATTACAAAAAAAGTTATACATTAATTTGCATTTTCATGAATGAAATAAGTATTTGATCCCCTATCAGTCAGCAAGATCTCTGGCTCCCAGGTGTATTTTATACAGGTAACGAGCTGACATTGGGAGCCCTCTCAGCTCGTTACCTGTATAAAAGAGACCTGTCCACAGAAGCAATCAATCAATCCAGATTCCAAACTCTTCACCATGGCCAAGACCAAAGAGCTTTCCAAGGATGTCAGGGACAAGATTGTGGACCTACACAAG